ACCCTCAGCTGGAACAGCTACATCCTCTCCAGGTAAAGCARTGGGTGGGGGTGCAAGGGTCAAGGGCAGCTTCCAGTTTTTGCAAATTCCCATCCTTCAATCTATGTGTAATGTGGGCTAGGGATGGCAGAGAGAAGTTTCTGTCCTTGCTTGGGATCTTTTCTCAGCCTTTTCCATTAGGACTGTGGGGAGAAGGCCTCTCTTCTGTATTACCCTTTGTGCTGAAGTTGTAAAGAGCTTGTGTGGCTGTTTTGCTCACATCAACAGACCTGTGCTGCTGATAACACTGGTTGAAACAGCTGTCTTGCAACAACACAAAAATGCATTTGGGTGAAAATGTGTCAGCCTGACCCTGCAAGCTTTCTTTTCTCTCTGCAGTGGAGCACGGACTGGTCATATTCATCACCATGATGTCAGAGTAGCTGAGCATCATGTAGCCACCCTTGCTGGCCATACACAGGAGGTGTGCGGACTCAAATGGTCTCTAGATGGCCGCTACCTGGCCAGTGGTGGCAATGACAATCTGGTAAATGTCTGGCCGTGCACCCAAGGGGGCGGTGGAGACTTTGCTCCTGTACAGACCTTCACTCAGCACCAGGGTGCTGTCAAGGTGAGCACAGGACTGCCGGGGCAGATGTCTGTGTGCAAGGCACATGTGCAGCACTGGCTGCATGCAGGTTGCCTCTTGCATGTCTTAAAATGAACTCTTCTCTCTCAGGCTGTGGCATGGTGCCCCTGGCAGATGAATGTTCTAGCCACTGGAGGTGGCACCAGTGACAGACATATCCGCATCTGGAACGTGTGTTCAGGCGCCTGCCTCAGTACTGTCGATGCCCATTCCCAGGTGAGACATGAACATCAGCTTGCAGACAAACATCTTCTGGCAGCACACCTACACAGAGCTGCTGGCTCCTTGGGCCCGGAGGCATGGGAAAGGAGGGSACCACGCTCACCTCTGAGTAGTAAGCATCAGCACAAGCAGCTTGTCTTACCTGTGTTACTGCCTCTTCTCAGGTTTGCTCTATCCTGTGGTCAACAAACTACAAGGAGTTCATTTCAGGCCATGGCTTTGCACAGAATCAGTTGGTTCTATGGAAGTATCCAACAATGACCAAGGTCGCAGAGCTGCAAGGTAAGTAGACAGGGCCTGGGGAAGAGGGGGCTGTTAGAGATGGAAGGCAGCTGCAATCCTTGGTTTGAGCCTGCAGCGTCACTGATACAGGATGGTATCCAGGGCATGCTAGTAGGAGCAAGGCCCTCCCCTGGGCTGCTGARGAAACACCATTGCTCCAAATACATGCTTAAGGTCTGAATTTACACTGCCCCAGCATAGTGGGGGGACAGCTATGAAGCTGGCRGGGCTCATAGGAGCATACAGGTATAAATGTGCATGTGCTGATCAGCTCACCCCTGATCACCGCACCCTTTTCCCCCACAGGTCATACTGCCAGAATCTTGAACCTGACTATGAGCCCTGATGGTACAACGGTGGCCTCTGCAGCTGCTGATGAAACACTGAGACTCTGGCGCTGTTTTGAGATGGACCCCATAAAGAAGAAGGAGAAAGAGAAGGCAAACAGTACCAAAAGCAGCATTATTCACCAGAGCATCCGCTGAGACCATGGGGTTGTTGTGGGGAGGGGGTATTTGGTTTACACACTGTACAGTATTTTAAATGTTAATAAACTGCTTACATTCACTTTTTTTAATGGAATCTGAAGGAAGAAAAAGCCATRGCTCCCAACCTCAAGTCCTTCCTTRCTGAGGTTTGGGATCTGGGCAAGGGGTAGAGCCTTTGTTCTCTAGGGCCTGTTTACAGGTACCCGTAGCCTCGTGCAGCCTAGCAGCAGGATGCTGTGCAAGGGCTGTACTTCTATTTCTGTCTCAGCTAAGACAGATAAGTCACCTGCCCTATCTTGATGCTGACTRCAAACACAGCAGCTCCACCACAGGCTCAACTAAAAAGCTTGGTAGCGCTGTGGCCCTAGTTTCTGTTGTGTCCTGTCTCACAACATGGCCTGACTGTGGATCTGCCACCACCCCTCAGGAGTGGTCACCTGCTCCAGAGCTGGCAGTCTGAGCTGTAATGTACACACAAGTGTGTCTTGTTCTGCCACAGRCAGCCATCACTGCCTGCTAGTGCTGGAGTAGAATAGCTATTTTTGCAGTGAATTTAGTACTGAATTTTAGAGTCAATTGCTATTGGGAGAAAAAGGAGGGGGGAAACAGACAGCAATAGCAATAATAATGCCAAAGGCGAAAAAGGGGCTGGCACGGGCATAAAGGCTGATGCAAAACAAAAGGTTAGTTTACACTGCCACAGCCAGCCTCGATGTCATGCAAGGGCCAAGCAAAGCACCAGCACCCCAGTGCTCAGCCCTTAGTCACATATTCTTCCARCAACTCTGATCTGTCCTATCCTGCTGACAGGAAGCCCTGGTGCCTAGCTGAGRCTTCATGCAGGGGAGCAGGCAGCACAACGCGGCTGACATTTGTTAGAGCTTGACTCCCCTTGTGCTTGGAAAAATGCATTTTTTCCAGGCTGAATTGTGCTGGAGCAACTTGGAGGGAACATATGTAAGCCTTGACCTGAGCAAGAGCCAGCTCAGCCATGTTGCCCTGCATGCTGGAGCCACRGTGTCTGAGGTTGTGGGGCTGCACCAGACTCATCAAACCTGTCCTTCAGCTGCACCAGCCTTACCAGGGGCTGCTGGCGACACTGCACAKCTGATTAGCACCTTGGCCTGTTCGAAGCTGCTCCACAAAGCCTGTGCCTCCCATCAGCCCTCAGTGATTAGCTGAGGGTGGATTATTAACTGTTTTCACCTTCCCYTCAGCACAGTACCACACTGTACCTAGCACTAGCTCTGCCTCCTGAGATTTAAACCAAGTAGAACCTTCAAAGATGGCCAGTGGCAGCACGAACTTGTGCCTTGTGCTGTGCMGAGACCAATGAGGGTGCACCCACACCCAGCAGAGCACCCCCACGCACACCCTGCTGTTATGGGAAGCACAGTCTCAAAAAACAGCAGCTGAGCCCAGCACCTTCCCAGCAGGGCTGCTGGTGCATCTCAATTTGGCCACTTGGAAAAGATCACAGGAGGCCCAAAGAAGGAGCTCTCCCTCTTCACACACAAATCCTAGGGCAGCAGCTGTATCTAATGGGAAAACAGGTTGGGCTCTTCCCCAGAACTGTGCTGCTGTTGCAGGAGCCCTGCCCCACACCCCCGCACTTTGGTGCTGGGAGTTAGCACAGACTTGGCCTGTAGCCTCACAGCTGATTAGGCCTTCCCCTGATCCCTGACCTGGAAGGAAAGCTTTATATACCTGAAAGCTGCTGTAATTTTTTCACTCCCACATAAGAGCAGCTCAGCTTTCTCAGGCAGTATAGGCTGTTTCTCCTTAGCACATACCCCACCTCCAGAAGCTGTGCATTACACTTCAGTCCCTGAAGGCTGCCTGATCATTACCAGAGGCTAATGGTGTTGCAGAGATTTTAGCCCCCTACTGGTCCATACAATCCTGGAGTGAGGAGGAGCAGAAKGAAGGAAGTGGGCACTAATCCAGCAGGCCCAGTAAACGCAGCCCTATAAGGTGTGAATTCAGTTCACAGCATGACAGCATATTAATTACCAAGTGCCATGGCCAGCGCATAGAAGAACACAGCTAACACGAACAATTGGAGGAAGGGAGAGCAGAGCACATGCTGGGAACAGCCCATTCTAAAATACCAAGCATAAGTAGTTTAAAGCATTGTTACTATTTTGGGCAAAAGCAAAGACAGTCCTTTCTTTATTAAGAGCCAGCTGGAAGGGAGAAGGAAGCTTGACAGGAAAAGGTCCATGTCAGCAGGACCATCACCTACAGCTCCCGAAGTGGTGACTTCTGAGCACCAAACTAACATTACACACCACAWCAGCACAGAGCAGAACAAATACTCATCCAAACCTTTACTCCCAGAGGAGCAGCAACAACTGGGAGAACACTGCACAGATCCCACTTTATGACTTCRTATATACAAAAGCACTGAGCCCTGTAAAAGAGGGTGATGCTCACAAGCAGTTTAGGCATATTAGTCACACCAGTTCAGGTCACTTGAAGATGCTTTCCTAAAGTTCACAGCATGGCCCTGAGGTGTACAGCAGCCCAGGTAGGAGCAGGAACAGAGCTCTCTCACACTAAGTCCTGCTCYAGGGCTTTGGCTGGACATCCACCAMAGCCCTCCCACYCCACAATCAAGCCTACAGTGAAACTGAGCGTCTGGAGGCTGCTGCTCTAACACATTCCTCCCAGCCACAAGCTGCCCAGTTGGCTCCCCASTCCTCTGCCCAGGCTTGAGTCAGCAACCAGGCTGGCCTCTGCTCAGGAGGGCCCCAGTCACGGGGTGATGGGGAAGGCAGCCCTTCAACAGCACCAAAGGGACACCACAATGAGACAGCTGGAGAGGTTACAGAGCCCAGCCAGGCAAAGATGCACTTCTACAGCAAGAGCAAGGCAGTAATAACATCAACCTCCCTCTGACCCACCTGAGCTACATTCTGCACAGATCCATGTTGCAAGGGTATTTGGAGATGGCAGCAATTTCTGCTTAGCAGATGTACTAAGCAACAAGCTGCTGTTTCCCAATCACTCAAGTTTCCAGAGTCTCTATTCCCTGCTCTACCCTATSCCAGCTCCCCAGATTTCTGAAAAGCAGCAGTTCTTCCTGGGCAGGTGGCCCAGGAGCCCGCACCCACGCTCCACCCCAACCATTCTTTGACAGGGTGGAGTCACTTTCACAACAGAAGCCTTGACACACTTCCTGCCCTGAGCACTGCTCTATCAAAACACTTGGAAACAATCTGCCATCTGCTTCATYAGCACACAACTATCACACTTTTCTCCCCCTCCCCCCCCCAACACAAACCTGCTACACCAGCTGCTTCTCCCAGCCCTGCCTCCAACCACACTGTGTGGACCAAGCACCTGGAACAGCTTTTGTTTACAGTAAGCCAAGAAAACAAGAGGACAGAGCCATTTCTCCTTCTGTTTGTTTATTTGTGGTAGAAGAGCAGCCCAATCTGACAGGGCCTGGCTCCTTCACCTCATCCTCAAGGCCATCAGCATGTTTTGGTTACAGCCAGAGCAGGTGACAGACACCAGGCCAGGAGAGCTGCTGCAGTGCCCTGCTGAAGGGAAGAGCACATCTTCACCCAGGCCCAGTCAGATCCACAGAGGCAAGTGGTGCTCACTGCTACTCCACAGCCAAGCACACTAAAAMCACCCTCTGCTGTGCTCATGCTAGGCCAGAGCAGGGCTGGTCCCAAGCAGGAGAGCCCAGGAGCTAATTCTAGGGGCACTTATTGCTCAAGTCTTGAATTTGTAGGAATGGAAGTGGTCCAAGACTAGGCTGAGCTTGGTCTCTCTCATGCTGGAGCAAGCCACCAGCTGCCATAGAGGATCAGGTAAGTGTGGCTTAAGCACACACTGAGCACCCAGCCCAGGCACAAGAACGGCAAGGCAACCTGGGCCTATCATGTGGGGGAAGCCTTTCAGGCTGTAACAGTCCCTGCTATGTACTAGGCACAGGGCTGTGTGCTGTACTGGGCAGGTCTGGRCCCTTAAGTCCCAAAAGTACTGCCCCTACATTCTCCACAGACACACCTGGGCACAAGTATGCCAGGGCAGGACTCCCAAGCTGGGCACACAGGGACCAGAAGGGACATGCAGCACTGTGGCATGGAACAAAGTGGCACAAGGCATCGTAGAGCAGGAGCACTCACACATGAGCTGGCAGTGGGAAGCAGCCAGGGACAMACCTGCTCATCCACATGGGCTCTTGTGAGACAGGGAAGAGGAGAGGGCACCAGGACAGGAAGCAGTCTCTTCTTTTGGTCCTACTCAGAAGGAAATAGCCCCTAGGCAGAAGGGCCAGATGTAGGCACTTGGGGGAAGTTCCTTTGGAAACACTGGAATGGGTCTGCAGCCCCACAGCTGTGATGCAGGCAGCTGCCTCTCTGCTCAGCAACACTCAGAAACAGCACAAGCCCTCCAAGGAGCAGAAGTGGCCCAAGGCTGCTCAGAGCAGAGGGGCTGAGCATGCAGACAGGGGACAGCAGGACTGGGCACAGGGGTAAAACAGTCTGTAGGCACTTGACTTGGCTAGTGGCACCCAGGAGCAGAAGGACAGGTCCCAGCTGCCTCTGCCCCGGGGCTCTCATTGGCTCTGGGAGCGCTTTGCCCTCTAGTTGGCTTTGACCTTGCCATTGGTGACAGTGCCATTTTCATGGATGCTGCTACCGTTGTGTTGGGCTGCTTGTTGAGCCGCCCTGGGCAACCGTTTGCCCTTGGTGTAGGACTGGTACCAAAAGTTGGAGAAGAGAATGAAGAAGATGGTCCCATAAATCCAGATAAGGTGGATGAAGATGGGGAACTGGTATTGGCAGTTGGGCATGAAGTAATACTGGGAGATGTGGACGGAGACAATCACAAACTGTGCCTGGGAGCAAGGCAGAGTAAGAACAAGTTATTAATGGGAGCAGGATCAGGGAACCCACAGAGGCCTTATTTTTAAAGGAAACCCCTAGACTCCTTCCCCAGGCTGACACAGGGCTTTATGGTGAGGCACAGTCAGTAGCCACTGGAAGAGGCAGGCACAAGTCTTAAGGCAGCATATGCCTCTCACCCTCCCAACATGGCTGCAGCCCAGGGACAGCAGGCTGAACAGCACCCCACACCCTAACCAGCCTGGTAGGGCTATCAGAGGCCCACAGTGGGGCAGAGTGGCTAAAAACTCAGAGAAGTATTTTACAGAGGAGAAAACTACAACTGCTGACTGCACCTTTCAAAAGTAAAGGGGCTGGCCTGTCCCTCATATTGGGGCACATGCTCTGCTCCACCACACAGACTCACCAGCTGGATGGCTGTGATGTGCTTCTTCCACCACAGGTACTTCTGAAAGGCAGGTCCTGCTGCTGACAGCCCATAGTAGAAGTACATGACGACATGCACCATGGAATTGATCATGGCATGGAATGAGCCCATTCCCCCTGTTAAGATAGATGTTCCTTAGTSAAAGTCAATACTACACAGAAATCAGCACTACACAGAGCTGCTAAGAGCCCAGCAGGACCAAAAACCCCATCTCAGCATGCTGGGGTAACCCCACCCAATCTGGTCACCCAGACAGTTGTCACCTCACCTGGACCAAACTTTGCTCCCCACCACCAGCTCCAAGGCAGAACAGAGTGGTGGAAAAGGTGCAGGAATGTGACCTGTTCATTCTTCTTCCGCAGGACAAAGATCACCTGCAATGAAAGCCCAACAGCATCARGGACCAGCAGCCCTGGGAGCACCTAGAGCAGGCTGGGCCACTAACTCAGTGTCTGATCTCAGTAATGCTTCCCTCCCTCCACACTCACTGTCATCACCTATTAGGTTACCCCTGTTTCCAGAGCTGTAGCATGTCCAGAGTGGCCTCAGCAATATTCCAGAGTGGCCTCCTCGGCAGTGATGTCAAACAGGAGCACTACCAGGTCAGACTGGAAGGGGTGAAAAAGCACCTACCCTAAATACACTGGGCCCCCACTCCCCGCCTAGCAAGGCCTTCTCAGTAACTCACTCACCGTGTCTGTCAGTTCGATGAACTTGGAGAAAACAAAGAGCCAAGCAACACTGACCATCTGTAACAGAACAGGTTAACATTAGAGACCCACCCCAGCCTGAACATGCCCACTGATCATACAATTAACCCAGAATGAAACCAAGGCCCCAACCAAATCCTCTGCCTCAGGAAAGGCAGGAACTATGACCTGTTGTTCAAACAGAAGCACTAAAGGCCATCCTCACTTATCTGGAGAGGGATGCAAACTCACCCGGAGAGCCTTGGGGTCCTGTGAGAAGTCCACAGGGTCACATCGCCAGGTATACCCAGTAAGCCACCCTGCCATCAGGAACTGCAACAAGAGCATCATCACAGTGAKGCCCAACACATCACCCACTGCACATCAAGCTCTGCACAGAAGGGCAAGGAACAGCCAGAAAAAGGGCTCCACATCACACAGGCAGCCTGCACATGCTGCTTTACACATGCTTGACCAAGCTGTCCACAACTCACCTCATAGACTATGTAAAGTGAGAGTCCCACCAGAAAGAAGTTGTATAGCACCATGAACTTCTTCAGGTTTAAAGGCTTCCTGTTGGCCATTAGCCGGGGACCCAAGGATAGGACAAAGTAGACGTATCCCAGAAGGATGCCCATCACAAGGAATGGGGACTGCATCAGTGGATAATCAGCRATGCGGGGGTCTGCAGAAAGAGCCACAGTGCAGAGCAGTTAGCTTCCTCACCCCAGCCTGCTGCCAGCAGTGTTACTGCCAACAGTGGAGGCAAGGACGTGGCAATCCTGTTCYCCTAGGACAGGAGTGCAAGTAGGGAAGCAGTCTGGGAGTAGAGACTGGTGAAGTCAACCATATTCAGCACATCATGGGCTCAAGCCAGGCTGCAGGGCAGCCTGGAGATCTTCTGCCCAGGAGAGCACAAATGCCCCAAAATGACTTGCACTGAGGYAAGACAGCTTCGTAACAGGCAGCACAAAAACCCCAGAGACGCATYTGTGTAAGGGCAAAGGCAGGATACAGTTAGACCCAGACTGCTTTGGGGATGACAGATCACCCCCCTGGTGCCCATGGTCACAAGGCATGTAGTGCTACCTAYCTGATAGCTGGGCAGAGTCAAACACTCACCTGCTTTCTTCATGAAGTCCTGATACATGGTCACAATCCCCTCCATGGTGGTGGCAGTATCTCTGTGGAAAGAGGCAGGAAAGATCAGGTAGTTGTTTTCCCAGGAGGGCAGCCTACAGAGCATAGCCCTGCAAATCAGCAAATTCCAAGCACAATTTCAGATAAACAGTCACGGGTATCTGGCCACTATTGCTCTCAGCTGACCACACACCAGCATCCACTTTCCAGCTGAGCCACAGGCCTCCTCACTTCTCACAGTGCCTGGCCCTGTTTCCCCAGCTCTGCTGGGAACCCCATCATCCAATGCCAGCAGTCCTTCCAAGGCAAGGATCCAACACTTCAAGCCAGCTAGGAATGCTTCCAACCTCAGCACTCCATCTCCAAACCCTTAATCTTGCTCCTGCTGTACAAGTTCAAGCATTATCATGCACAAGCACYATGACATTGCCACCAGCCTTGGCGCCACTACCTACCACTGTCTGACCCTGGTGCCAAAATGAAGAGCTGGCACACACTCTCCAGAGAGCAGTGCCTTTATGGTAAGCTTTAGGCTCCTGATACCCACCACAGAAACAGCATAMCCCCACATTGCATGAGGAAGGAAATCCATAGGTTCAGAAACAAACATCAGTTTCTGGTGTCAAAGTTCCTGGTTTCACATCCTTGCACAAAACCCTCCTGAAAAGAAACTATTACCATATAATCTTGTAACACCTCAGAGGCAAGGAGCATCCTACTTGGCAGTGGCACTTCCACTCCCCTTCCAGACAAGAGAAAGTCATACAATAGAAGACTGCAGGGAGGACTGGTGCTCCCCACACTTGCTTAGTCTCACTATGAGCACACACACAGGCAGATGCTCTCCCGAAAAGCAGGAAAGGCCCAGGCTCTTACCACTGCAGGCAAGTTTGAAATACACTCTCTCACCCCCCTGTGCTGCCCAGCCTCTCCCCAGCCCACAGSACACCAGAGCAGCAGGAAGGGAGGCAGAGAACAGACCCAGCCTTATCTGACTCATCCAGCTGTGAGGAAGACATTCCCCACAGTTGCTACCAGACACTCCACCTACCYCTCGCCTCCAAGAAGGTGCACAGGAGTCACTGCCCACACAAGGCCTGGGGAAATGGGTCYCCAGCCCAAGTCTCCCCAAGAGATATATTGCTGCCACCATCAGGAAGCACACGGCCTTTTCCAGACCAGCAGCCAGGAGGCTGAAGCCAGAGTACCCTTCTTCCCAGTAAGGTCCCTGAGTATTCAGCAGCCACTGCCACCTCAAGCCCTCACCAGCCAACACCAGCATTGCTCCTTTAGTTACACAGCAAGAGGAAGAGCTCAATGTCATCTTTGCTGTGGGCAGGATGGCAGCAGACACTTCCTGTGCAGTGCTACCAGGCACCTCCATGAAAGGCTTTGCTGGCAATAATCTTCAGGGGTGGTTGGCACACACCATTCTGGCTCACCATTCCCTGCAAATCASTTTGGTGCAGCAGTAGTGCTGGCTCTGTGCCTGTCCAGTCATCCCCTCTGCATTCCACCAGACCGGAGAGTGCCATCCAACCTCTCTGCAACAGCGGCAGGCAGGAAGAGATCTCCTCCTTCACCTCAATCCCCCAAAACACCCATTCCTCCAAGCAAGGCTCCAGAGCAGCCCGCACAGCCAAGTACCCCCCGAGGACAAAGCTCAAGTTTTGCTATGAAAAAAAAAAAAAAAAAAAAAAAAAAAAAAAAAAGCACAAAAGGTGGCTCCTTGTGCCATCCTGGAGGCAGACAGAGCAATAGGGCAAAGCCCACCTAGGACTGATCTCCCCCATTAATCAGTGGCACCTCAGCAGCAGAACACATGTCCATCCTCCCAACCCAAGGTTTCAAAGGATTTAATAGCAAGTAATACTCACTTGTAGTATCACTGTGATACAAGAAAGGTTCTGGGCACAGCCAAGATAATCCACTCTCCACATGCAGCAAAGGCCAGATAAAAGTGTAGCAGGARTTATTGCATCCTTAAGAGCCACTCAAGGCTCAGCTGTGGGAAAYACAGTAAGTACAAGTCCAGAAAGCTGGTGAGCTTTATGTTGCTTTAATGGCTAAGAACAAGCTCCAAACTCGTCTGTCTAGTTTCAGCTTTCAACCACTACATCCAGCTACACCTTTATTTGCTAGATTGAGGAGCCCTCAAGAGTCAGCTCCCAGCAGAGGCACCTGACTATTCAAGCTGTGTTTATCTTATCAAGGTGAATGAGTCAGCCTTACTACAGGTCCAGGGCAGAGACAAAAATCCTGCCGAATACTTGCCTATTTTGGACAGGCTAGGATGAGAAGAGAGTATCAGCTGTCTTTGAGCTCAAAGCTACATCTCACACTGCAGGGAAACACTTCAACTCAGGCACTATGGATCACCTCTCTGACCCGGGGCCAACAAAGACTCCAGTACCACAAGCCAACTAGGACTTCAGGGTCCATGACAACTCTTCCCCCAAGCAGTAGAAGCCCACTTCARTTCAGGACTAGCACAGACAGAGGTACCCACCAGCAAGAACAGCAACAAATCCCTCTTACTGCTGTTTTGTGAAGCACCTCCAGCACGCCTACAGCCACACGTGCCACAGGAAGATGGGAGGCATTGGATTTATCCTGAACATAGGCTCTGGGCAAGCACCAAGACTTCTACCAGRGCAGAAATAGCAGAATTATGCTACAGGCCATTTTGGATCATGCATTTTTGAGTTTCTCTAGGCAGGAAAACATCCTGCTAAATTAAGCTAGCAGAACAACCATGTCTCCAGGGAAACCCCCGAGGTCTTCAGGTCTTTACAAGACCTGGCATCCATGCTGGCATGCCACATCATCCTGTCCAAGTGTCCAAAGTATGCCCTGCTCAGTGAGCAAATGTGGGTACATCTTGCCCTCCTCTGCCTCCCAAGGGGCAGCCACTGAGGTGTTGACAGCTAAGCTGCAAAGTAGGAGTTGCAGGGCAGGCCCAAGTATTACCTTCACTAAGCAGGGGGATATGAAGCGGACTGGCCTGCCTAAAACATGACTGCTCCAAGCCAGTCCTTTCTGCTGCATGCAGGGGTCTTCCAGCACAGATCAGCAAATGTCCAGGAACCTGAACTCCCCCCTGTGCACAACACCCCTCTGCACATTGAGAGAGGTTCACCATTCAGACAGCATTTGCTGTTACTCTTACTGTACTCCACACCATGCCACACGTCACACACTGCAGATGTTCACAGCTCAGTGGTTGGATCTGTCTGCTCTGCACACAGGGGACACTCACTTTCCTCTGACACCTCTTAAATCCTGCTTCTCTTAGGCAATGAGTTGGCAGGAGATGAGGAACCCAAAGCTGAGCTTGAACAGCTGAAGAGAAATCAAGCAAACAGGTCCAAGCATCCCGAATGAGCAGGAACCCTAGGGGCCCAAACACACCCTGCATGATACAGAGAAACCTTGCAACACATCTCTTACCTCTCAGCAACAGGGAGTCACTTCCCCATGTCAGAGAAAAAGTTCCCACTATTTGCAAACTAGAGTATCAGGCCACAATTCGTTCCAGTAACCGGCATCAAGGATTAAATACTTGCTTACACTGAGCAACGTGTACACTGCATATTTCCAGCAAGCTATACAGCTGATTAGTGCAACTTCAGCAACAACTGCAAGGCCCTTTATGACCAGCCACAGCACTGTCAGAACCATGACACTGACAGAGACCAGAGCTCAACCCACTTAACTTTGTTAACAGCCTTGCAGAGCACATATCTCCCCATATAACAACCATCTGCAAGCAACAGACTCTGCCCCAGACATCCAACACTCCTCCTCAGCATTCAGGTCAGAAATCAGTCCTGTAATAAGTGCAAAAGCAAACACCTTCATCTCCCCACTAGTTTAATTAAAGGCAGCACCAAAACCGTCTGGTAGGTGGCCACAGAGCTGCCACCCCAGGGACAGCTGGCACAGGGCCCTTGTTGAACTGGCTAAAGCAGGCCTGGCCCTGTGGGGGTTCCAAGGGAGTAGCAGCCCTCAAAGGTCAGGAGATAACCAGTTGGCCAGATGTGAAACCAACTCGCATCCCTGATCTACAAGATGGCATCAAGGATTGCTGCCTGATGCAGCTTTGAGCTCCACCACCTCTCAGGAAGAAGCATCTTCCTCCCCCATCTCCCCACAATAGCATCTCCCCAGTTGCCCAGAGTTCCAGAAAGTCACTGCAGGGTCCAGCAAGGCCTGCACACACCCCATGTGCCCATGGCCTATGTTTCTGTGCTGAAAAGTGGAACTGATCAAGACAGGCTCTGGTGGCCCCAGACCAGACACAGGTAGGGACACGTACTGCACACACAAGGCTGGCACCTCGAACCATCAAGAGCTGACAGTCACAGCGCCAGAAGCTTTCCTGAACTCATGCACAAGTGAATCCAGCAAGATGAGGAACACAAAACTTTATCTGCCCCAAACAACACACAAGAAGCAAGGCAGTCACAGCAAGACAAGAGAGAAGGAGCTCAGCCAGCCATATGCTGCAAACCTGTTTTTTTAATCAACTCTGCAGTAGGATCACTCCTAGACTGAARTGTACAGTAAAGCACAGAAAATTGGATTTGGATCACCTCTGTCTGCTGCTCTGTGTCCATGTGAAAGGGAGAGCARCCTGGAACCAGGCAGTACACACTTATCTCACATACAGCATCTCCTAACACCAGCTCAACCACATGCAGCAGAGGCCACTCAACAGGAGAGTTGTATTCAAGTACACTTGCATTATTGCTAACAATTTCAGCCATTCACTGAAGACTCAAGATAGCATTGTGCACGTGCTTCTAAAGCCATGTCTTTTCTCAAAAGAAATCAGTTTAAAGACATGCCTGTCACCAGCTCACCAGCCACAGAAGACAAGTCTGGAGAACAACTGGAGCTTCTATATTTCAAGTGTGGAAAGCCATACCCACAGACTAGGGCAGAGCAGTAAAATACCCCACCTAGCCTGGCACCTCAGCTCTAAGGACTTAGGGCAGACTCTAACTGGAGTTTGAGAACAACCAGTCCCAGAACTCAGTCCACAACATAACTACAACGACTACAAAAAAATTTAATGCTAGCAACCAGCAGGTAAGTTTTCCTATTTGAACCATATCCATTTGTCACTTCCTCTGGCTCACCTACTTCATGCTGAGTGTCAAAGGACATGGCCAACAACCTGGTACCATATGTTGTATGGCCAGGATATATCAGCATATAATATCAGCATATTCTGAAGTCAGTACAAGAGGTCTGTGTTCACAGAAGGGATGCAAGCCCTCAAACTCATATGTAACAGCTCTTGCAAGAGTTGCCSTTGCAACCAGTGTAGGAGTCACACTGGCTGGGTGCTGCTCCTGGTACGCTGGATCCAAGTGGCAGAAAGTGTCCTGCCTGAAGTTGAGCAGTTTCCCCATCTTCACTAAGTCTGTGTTAATACTCTACCACTCTCTCACGAAGTGGCTGAAAAACCCTGAAGCCTTTGGATAGCATCCTACAAACAGATTAAGCTCTGCCCTTCCCATACTCACTAGAAGCAGGGAAAGCAAGAGGAGACTCCCAGAGCAGCAGGAAAGTTCTGACTGACACTCAATATGGCACCTCACAAGCTTTCAGAGAAAGGAGGACACCATCTGCAATAAGGCACTGGGTACAAAAATCAAGGCAGGTAATCAGACTCCAACGTCCTACAAGAGCATACCTTGCAATTAGAGGTTTATATGCACAGAGCACACTCAGGAAGGACAGAACTAGGMGGGTGACAGAGGGGGGCAGGCAAAGCTAGATTGAGCAAGGCCAACTTCTAACACCTGCATCCAAAATCAGGTCAAGCCTTCTAAACCACCTACCAAAGAAACAGAGTAGCCTTATCTGGAGGTGGGACAGGCTGTACCACAGTATTCATCTCTGGTTTTAATCACTATGCAAATGCCTCAATACAAGGCTTCATGTCTGTTCTCACAGCACTGGCTGTAATCATGACACAGTAATGATTACTGTGCTCTGCCCAACTCAGGCCTGTGCATTAATTAGGCAYATCAAGACAAGATAGACATAAAAAGCAAGATGCAGAAAGGAAAAACTCCCAAATTCCTTCCAACAGYTTTATCTGGTCTATTCAAGAAGACCAGGTACAAATCCAGAGCTACTTCTCAATGAGACAAGGGGCCACTGCCTGGAACTCACCATGGTATCAGCTTTGGGTCCCATACCCTCCACACCCAGAAGGCAACACAGTCAATCTTCARGAGAGCAGGATGTTCCCCAATAGTATGAAGATGTCACACTCCCGTAGCACAATATATGCATCTAGAACCAACATGCCTGAGGCTTAATGGATACCACTTTTAAATAGGTTCACAGCCTTCCAAGGCCAAAAGAAAAAAAATTAAGCATGAGGCCTGATTATTCCAACACAGTTGTAGATTGACCAACTCAAAGCCAGGGCACTTGCTTCTACTGCTGCTCCTGTACAGACAGGGAAAGCCTCTTAGGGTTAAGCAGAAGTGGCACAAGTTATAAAACCTGTGTGTGTACAGARCAAATCTTAAACTGTGAGAGCAAGCTACCTGATCTGATCTACAGGGTAAGAGCACTCCTTGTAGCAAACCTGGAAGACTTGCTGCCAGTGACAGCTTACCACTCTGATCCATCCCACAGGGAAGGATCAACCCTATGACACACTAAGGGAAATWAAGAAACATTAACCACCTCCACCATCCTCAAGCCACTAAAGGCTCAGATAGAATGCAGACAACAGGCCTGATGGTGAAGAAGAGGCTGTGACAGCTGCAGCTTGTCATCTCTGTGCTGTCATTGCTGTGCAAAAGCAGCCCCACAACTCCTGCAGGGAAGAGTCCTGGCTCCTGGGGACTGTCTCCTCCCTTTAAGAGCCAAGCTGCCTCACCTGTTTGACTGGAAAGAACCAGACTTTCCAGCCCAAGTACTCCCACCATCTGACAGCCTGTAGGACACACACACTACTGGAACTCCAATACAAAAGCACAGAAACACAGAGCATCTCTTGGGCCATCACAGGCACCACTCCCAGTGTCCCTTGTAAGCATCTCCAGCCGAGTGTTGACTGTGCCGTAATCCCCAGCAG